TTGCGGGTTTGGGTTCGAAGAAACCCAAAATTTTTTAATGCATGGACATATATTTGATGCAATTCATGGCAATATTAAATTCACATAATTCAACAATTATGGATATAATGCATACACAATTTATGTATAATCTAAAATTCAAAAAACGTAAAGTTGGGTCATGTATTATGGTGAATGTTCATGCTATCAGGGCTGCAAAAATATCAAGATAAAAACGGTTGTTTTGAAAGAATCTGAGTGCTTGATGATATTGGTGAATTGTTGTAACGACTCGTCCCCGAATATTACGGGTTTACCAATCCGAAAGATTTGTTTAATTTTTGAAGTTATTGTTTTATATTATTTGATATTATTATATTATTAATTTGTTTTGTTCCATGTGGGACCCACACCCACCTCTTTTTTTCCCTTATCTCTTCCCTAATACTCTCGGACTTTCTCGAACTTTTTCCCTCATCTCTTTGTCACTCTCATCCCCGAGCACGCACACTAGACACCTGCTCGCCATTTTCTCTGGCAAGCACCACACACCACCACCATTGTGGGCATTCCTTCTCCCTCTCTCGTGACTCTTCTTCCATCTCTCTCAGCTCCCTTCTCTGTAACACCGATGTCGAGACCCAGAGACCGTGCCTCACCACTCCGGCGAGCACTGCTACCACAACCCAACCCTCCACCTCGTCCTATCTCTATCCTCGAATCTATAACTAATGACTAAATTGTGGAAAATCCTCGGATTGATTAACTCCGACATCGAATGGGATGCTCGACGAATTCACGACTTTATTCCGATTTGGGTAAGGATCAATAACGCTCAAAACCCTTTTTTATTAACTTTTTGGTGTGAGTTTTGAGTTCCTTATGTGTTTTAACGATGAAATGGTATAGATATAACTCGTGGAAGTTATTTCCCATATTCCGGTGAAGCTGAGATGTTTGTAGGCCATTTCCGACCTACTTTGGCCACGGCGGGGGACCATATTGGTATATTCTTGTTCTTGGCGTTCTTAATTTCATTTTTGCCTTTTGAATCGTAGAAAATGGTTAAGTTTTGAAACTAATCAGAGCTTGGGAATTCTCCGGCCAAAATCAGGCCTTCTTTTTCGTTGCGTCTGGCGACCGGCGAGCCCAACCGGGTCGACCCGACTTGCACTAAAAAACAAATCCATTTCGGCCCAAACCTTTAGGCCATTGTTCCAGCCCAACTAGTGAAACTGGCCCAAGCCCAGATTCATGGGCTAGATCCAACCTAGGATCTAGCCTGGCTCAATTCCCAAATGGATCTGGAATATTCTTGGTATATTCCTTGAAATATTCTTTGGAATATTCCTTGTGTTGAATTTTATGAAATTTTCCCGAAAACGTTCCTAGGCTAATTTCGACGCCCCGAGTTCATTTTTGACATCCGTTGAGTGAGATTTTGAAGTTTTAGTGTAGTTAACCGGCTCGGTGTCTCGGTTGATTTTTTGGGTCCATCGTTCGTTTCTCCAAATTTAAACGTTTTAATTGAGTTTTTACTAATGGGCTTCTATTATACTTATGTACGATTACTATCGGAGACTCCAGTTTTTCTAGTCCGGACCACTGTAGCCTAGCAAATATCAGTGAGTAGACCCCTTCTTTAATTGCATGGTTTTTACTAAATGCTAGGCTTGCATTCACGAAAAGCATGATTCCATGATTTTACATTTTATGTCATGAATTATTGGATTTTCGTGTATGAAATACTACGGATTTACCAAAATGATTTATTTTGGATTTATGAGATTTGGATCCTAAGTTTGATACGATATTTTGAGATATGTTTTCTATCTTTATCTAGTGGGTCATCATACATCACATACACACAACCTAAATATGTATTCGTCCATGGCTATAGGACACAGTTGAGGATATTTATGACATACTCCCAGCTTCACTAGCGAAACCAGTGTCAGACAGCTTCATTAGCCACGGCTAGTGTCGGTGTGTTATGTTTATAGTTATATTTTCTTCTCTACCTAGAGTCGTACAACTTCACCTTCTGATGATGGGGCCTACCATGTTTCTTCACTGGCTTAACCCAGTGTCGTACAGCTTCACCTCCAGGTGATGGTTATGCCTTAGGGCTACTATGATACCCCTAGATGAGTATATCACAAAGTTGGTTTATGAGATTATTTAGATTTGCCTTCGGGCGTTTCGATATGGTTATGCCTTAGGGCTACTATGATACCCCTAGTTGAGTATATCACAAAGTTGATTTATGAGATTCTTTAGATTTGCCTTCGGGCATTTCAATATGACTTTTAAGAGATGGTTTTATTGCTACGAATAATTCTTTTTGGCATGTTAGAGTTTTCAGAAAAAAAAAAGAACTTAAAATGTATAAGACCATCTCCAAAAGAGATGTCAAATATGCTAAATAGGATTAAAAGACATTTAAGTGTTCTCCAATGGATATGCCATATATGATATGACATGTGAGTCATTTGACTTTTTGCTTTCTAGGTGCTTTGTTTTTATGGCAAACAAAAAGGAGTCAAATATATTTTATTTAATTTTTAATGCATGAGTCCCATTAACAACCAATAGAATAAAAATTAAACTAATTTTGATTAATTTTTAATAGTTAATGTAACTCTAGGCCCAACAAAATAATAAAATAAATATTTGACACATTCATTGGAAAAGAAGAAAATTTAGCACTTGTATTCAATTTGACACATTAGCCATCAAATAAAATTTTGAAATATTATATTTGACATCTCATTTGGAGATCCTCTAATGTTTAAGCCTATACCAGATAAGGACCAAAGATTGCAACTAAACTATCCCAAAAGTCAAATAACCTCCTACAGAGTCTAGGAGAACAAAATTGTTTTATTTCATTTCCTCAACGGTTCATCGCATTGAATTTTATTGCGCATTCCCTATAAGGAGAGACATGAACATAATAAATGTTGTTGTTTGAAAAAACTCATCCAATAAATTCCGAATTTCTCATGCTTCAATGGGTCATTTGTGTGGGTAAACGCTATTAATATCTGTTGAGGATTAATGGCAAGAGCAACTAATTGTAGAAATGTAGTTAACCATCAATGAGCATGAGGTTGACACCTTTACGAGAAATGCCAAAGAAATTCCCTCAAAATGAGACATTTTATGAATTCTTTGTCATCTCACAATTTAACATCATATTCCATGCTAACATTATAAAACATTATGTAAAAAATAAAGATAACATAGAATCCACGAATAATCTTACTTTTGAGAAAACTCTACCTTTAAACAAGAGGGAAGCATTGGCAAAAAATAAATAAATAAAACATGAGGAATGGCCTTTTCTTTTTCATTAAGTATGGCATGCAAGTCACGTTGGCTTTCTATCACACCAAATTCTTAATGAAATAAAGTTGATCTTTTTTTTTTTTTACATATAAGCAATATGGGAAATAAAACCTAGACTTGGAGTGCACAATAAATGTTCTGAACCATTAAAGCTACAAGCTTATCGCAAATGTTAAACCTATAAATATGTGTAACCAAATTAAATATTTGTTTTAAGAGAAATTGGAATACTGGTCCTTAAAACTTGATCTAATTAGAGTTTTGTCCCAAAACAAAAAAGTTATATTAAAGAGAGTTTTAACGAAAAGCTCGTGGTACTGTTCACTTTAACGAAAAATCATATTTTTACACTAAAAAATCAATCTTGGTGCTATTCACTTTACCCTTTATTTTGTCCTTATCATTAAAACTCAAAATTTTCAAGCTATTTTTATTAGTTTTCCTTATATTAAAAGTATTAATTGTTCAAGATTAGCTAACAAAAGGTAATATGTCCTACATATAATTATTTGGTCCAGCAACCTAATATTCGCAATGTTGACGGAAATTTCTAAGTTAGAATTTCTTGGACGATAATTGTTAATAAATAAAACACAAAAGAAATTATGTCCAAGCTGAAATTAATTTCATAACATGCGTTTGTTCCACTTCATGAATACAAAGAGATGAAGGAAACAGATATCTTTCATAAAAAGTACAAAAATGTTAGCTGTGGAAATGGTTGCCGTAGGAAATGTGGAACTGCCCTCACTCAACCATAAATTGCATTCACTTCTAACAAGTAGCAACTCATTCAAGTTCAAGGTTTCAAACATTACTCCTTAAAAAACAAAAAACTAGCGAACTTTACTTTGTGAATCTTAGTGCAGTAAAAAGGAAATTACTTTTGAATCAGATGAACCTATTTGTAATAAATCTAATGAATAACCTTTTTTTGCTGTCATCGTCACTTCGACATGTGTTGTTACTTATTTTATAATGATGTGATATTCATACATCTTTTTTTACTTCTCTCACATTTTTTTAATTTTTGGCCGTTGGATCGGATGAATTGAAGAAGATCGAAGAACAGAAATTAATAAGGAAAACTAATGAAAATGGCTTGAAAACTTTGAGTTTTATTGATAAAGACAAAATAAAGGGTAAAGTGAATAGTACCAGGATTGACTTTTTAGTGTAAAAATATGATTTTTCGTTAAAGTGAACAGTACCGGGTGCTTTTCGTTAAAGTTCCCAAATTAATAAGGGGTGTAAGAGAAGTAAAAAGAGGTATATGGATATCACATCCCATCTTATAATACATATGTCTGTTCATTAATACTTATATTAGTTTCATGAAATGCTCCACTGCGATATTTTTGGTTGAATGACGTTTGTCTTTTAAGTTACAAAGTTCGCATCCTTATGATAGTGACCCTCTGAATGATAAGGTCTAGCGAATCGCAATTGCGTTTGAGCTTCCTCAGAAACTCATTCTCTAAATACGAAAAAGCTTAATTAAATTTGGTTTTTAACTTCTAACTCAATAACGTTGAGCGTAAATCGATGAAGACGCGTTGTTCCATAGTTTTATCCATGGAGAAAAAGGAGTGGTTGAACGCAAACTCACAGAAAAGGCCGAAGCTTTTCATACTGTTAACGGTCTATAAACCAATAGCAACACACTTTTAAACAGTAAATAGCAGTGAAACGCTCTCTCAAGGTCAAGAATCCACTGAGCCAAAAGCACTGCAGCAGTCCCCAAGTCGTCGCTAAGTTTGACAAAGATGGCCGTGCCTTCTTTAACCCGTCGACCCTCTCTCATTTCCTCTCTTTTCTTCTCAAATCCCGTCCCATCCAAACCTTGTTTTCCTTTTTCCTGCTAAATCCACCCCCCATTCACACACCCTTTTCCAATTTCCCCAAAAAATTATTGAGTATTTATTTATATAAATCGTATGGTGCACTAGCTTTTTTGTTGACTCTGGAAGTCTTCGTCTTTGTGGAAAAAGAAGGAAGCTTTGTGGATTCAAGAACCCCTCTCTGGGCTCTTCTATTCATCTGTGTTTTCTGCAAGTGAATAATCTCAGGTGGGTTTTTTGAAATTTTCCCAAAGCTTTAAACTTTTAGCTGGATTTTTGTATGTATATATATATCTGTATGCGTTTGTGTTTCTGGAGACTTGGGTCAACTCAATTGGATCAAGTAAGACCTTTGAACTTTCTGTGTGTTTGTTCTAGTTTGTATTTTGTGAAATTTGAATTTGCATTTTCATCAATTAAATTGTTTCTTTTTACAACTGTATTTGCACCTTTTGGTAGAGAGATGATGAATTGGGTTTTGTTTCCTGTGCTATTTTCATAATTTATTTCCAAATTTGGTGTTAGTTATGCGAAATTTTGTAAAACTTGAGTGTTTGTTGGTTTGATTTGGGTTCATTTCTTGTTGCTTTTGAATTTTTTTCAGGGCTTGGTGTTACTAATGCTGTGGTGTGGATTCAGTATATTGAGCTCTGGTAACAATAAATAGCGAATTTAGGCGATTTTTGATGGCTTTTTCGATGTATATGTTGTTGAATGGACGAGATCCTGGTATTTTCTTTGGTGGTGTGGTCTGGTTATTGCTTAGTTGTAGTTTCAGCTTTGCTGTTGAGAGTGATATAAACTGCTTGAAAAGTCTAAAAGCATCGCTTCAGGATCCTTTAGGCTACTTAAACTCATCATGGGATTTCAACAATAAGACCGAAGGTTTCATCTGTAACTTTCTGGGAATCGAGTGTTGGCACCCTCATGAAAGCAAAGTTTTAAATATCAAGCTTTCGGATTTGGGACTCAAGGGCCCGTTTCCTCGGAGTGTAGCAAATTGCACAAGCTTAACAGGATTAGATCTTTCGAGCAACAAGCTCAGTGGACCTCTTCCTGAAGATATTGGTAGAATTATTTCGTTCATTACAACTCTTGATCTTTCATCTAACAGCTTCTCAGGGCATATCCCAACGAATCTTTCCAATTGTAGCTATTTGAATGTGCTTAAGCTTGACAGCAACCAGTTGAACGGTAGCATCCCTCTACAGCTTGGTCAGCTCGGTAGGATTAAATCATTTAGCGTGGCAAACAATCAGCTGTCTGGCCAAGTCCCAAACTTTGGTAACAATAGTGCAGTTACACTAGAAAGTTACGCAAACAATGCTGGACTTTGTGGGAAGCCTCTTGATCTGTGCCGGGGAGTTAAAAAGAAGTCTAACAGTGTAATTATTGTGGCAGCTGGTGTTGGTGGTGCAACGTTTGCAGCACTAATTGTGGTTATTTCCTTGTTGTTCTTTGTGCGTAGAGTGTCTGCAAGGAAGAAGGAAGAGGACCCTGAAGGGAACAAGTGGGCTAAGAGTTTGAAGAAAACGAAAGCCATCAAGGTAAGCTATTACAGAGCATAATTTTTTTAGAAACAAATTAATATGTACATATAATGATAATTTTATTGGTTCTGTTTCTCTTTCTTTCTCTCTATGTTTTATTGATTTTAAATACTCAAATTTATGTTTCCTTTTTTTGGTAGTTTGAAATTTTGTATCGTATTGCATTCTAATGAAGCTAGTTTCCTCCAGGTTTCCATGTTTGAGAAGTCGATTTCTAAAATGAAGCTGAGTGATCTCATGAGGGCCAGCAACAGTTTCTGCAAAGATAATATCATTGGGACAGGAAGAACTGGAACGATGTACAAAGCAGTGCTCGATGATGGCACTCCACTTATGGTCAAGAGGTTGCAGGAATCTCAACATTCTGAGAAAGAATTTCTGTCTGAGATGGCTACTTTGGGAAATATAGGGCACCGTAATTTGGTTCCTCTTTTAGGGTTTTGCACAGCAAAGAGGGAAAGACTTTTGGTCTATAGGTACATGCCTAATGGTACCCTCCACGATCAGCTACATCCTGCAGATGCTGAAGGTGCAAAGATTATGGACTGGCCAACTAGGCTAAAAATTGGGATAGGGGCAGCCAGAGGATTAGCATGGCTCCACCATAACTGCAATCCTCGAATTATCCACCGGAACATAAGCTCCAAATGCATCTTACTGGATGCAGATTTTGAGCCCAGAATATCTGAATTTGGACTAGCTAGGCTCATGAATCCAATTGATACACATTTGAGTACGTTTGTGAATGGGGAGTTTGGGGATCTCGGATATGTTGCTCCTGAGTATACACGAACTCTAGTGGCCACTCCAAAGGGAGATGTTTACAGTTTCGGAACTGTACTTCTTGAGTTGGTGACCGGTGAGAGAGCTACCCACATTTCTAAAGCCCCTGAAGACTTCAAGGGAAATTTGGTGGAATGGATTACACAGCTGTCAGGCAAATCTCAACTCCAGGATGCGCTCGACAAATCTTTGGTTGGGAAGGGTGTGAATGAGGAGCTTTTCCAGTTTCTTAAAGTTGCGTGCAACTGTGTGGGGCCTATTGCTAAGGAGAGGCCTACTATGTTTGAAGTGTACCAGCTTCTAAGGGCCATAGGGGAGAAATATAACTTCACAATCGAAGACGACATGCTGATGCCAACAGACAATGGTGATGGTGATGGTAATGGCGAACTTATTGTTGCTCGAGAGATGATTGAGATGACCTGAAAAAGGTAAGAGTATATTAGTATATGGCCAGTACCCTTATGTAATTATCTGTTTTTGTGTACTGCAATAAGCATTATTTACATATATGGTTATGCTTTAGTTAACGTTTGGACCTGCTTTCTTCGACATACAAATGTATAATCGTCATGTTAGAAGCTTTTAATGTGTAATGCGAGTCCCTTATAACGCAACTTGTTTAATATTCTTCATTAGAACAACCTTTCAGTAAATTTGTGAGGTGTGTAGTTGCATTTGTATTGAATGTATTCTTTCCTATAGAAGGAAGACGACACCAAGATTCTGTTCTTCATTCTCTTTTGTGTTTTAATCTCTTTTTCGTCCCTGCCACATCTAATTATCTGCTTTTCAGCACCATTTTCAGATAATTTTGTTTCTCGACTGTTTTTTACCAAAACCTAAGTTGATGGGAAACTTGGAACGAAAGTAAATAGAAGTTGAAATGAGAACTCAGACGCATTGCTGAAGTGTTTACTGCGTCGTGTATTGCCAGAGCTGTTGAGTGCTTTGTGTAGTATGACAAATTACTACTATATACCCGCGACTAATGTTAGAGAGGTCACATAATCGGTCATGGTATTGGGTTCATTTTCTGTTTCTAGCGTTTGAATTTGTCCCCTTTTCTTCTTTAAATTTGGTCTACTTAACTAGTTAATGCTAGAGTTTTGTGGTAATGCGGTTTCAGTTAGGTAATATGATCTTGAGCTCTGATATACAGATGCGAAATTTTACCGACTAGCTATTGGTCTCGTGGTACTCTCTTTTCAGTGTTGGAAGAGGTCCCAAGTTAAACTCCCCTACCCGCTTTGATAAAAAAATTATCTACCGAATTTTAGGCCAATTGGATGGTTTTGTAAGTGTATGTTGTTGAGTACATGACGTCGAGTCAGACTCAAAACTACCCGCTAAGATCTGCGAGCTCGATCTCGTGGGTTTTGTTCTTTCCTTTTCCTTTTCCTTTTTCCTTTCAGTATGACCTATCACAGCTCCGTGCATTCCTTATATGGTCATGTACTCCATTCATTCCTTATCAAGTGATGTACTTGGCGTGATCGAATAAGGCATCGACGATTCACGGAAGTGCATGGCTCCTAATTACATGAGAGTTTGTGCATGTACACATCATTAACTAATTAAGTTCGGAAATGTGCATAAACAGAAACGGTTAAAATCTGTTAACCGTCGCCAATCTTTGCTCAAGCTCTTCTTCTGCCAAGTCCTCTAAGCACCATTTTCAGAGAAAAAACTTTGCTTTTGGGCTGTTTTGACCCAATTAAATGAAAGTTGGAGAGAGAGAGAGAGAGAGAGAGAGAGAGAGAGAGAGAGAACGCGCAAAAGCATAGCCAAATTGTTCACTGTGCACACAACAACACTTGACACAACTCAAATTGGGTCGAGGGCATTGAGTCGTATGATGACTATTGTATGATAAGAGTAATGCTAATGAGACTATTAATTCTTTTGACTCAACATACTGATAAGTACACCAACTATAAAGTCTTTGTCCAGTCGTACTTTTGAATACATGAGATTACAAGTTATCAGATTTTTTAGCGCTTGCCAGTGACTAGTTTTGTTAAATCAAATAAAATTGATTTATGTATACCCTTTTTCCTCAAATGCTCACTCGTTTGTTTCTATTTCTTGAATTTCCTTTGATTTTGCTATAAAATAAAGGAAAGACTAGATCGAGGGCAGTCAAGCACTTTGAAGAGTCTATAACTATGCAGTCCAAGTCGTCCTTAATCTTGGAGAAAAACTTGGTTGTAACCGAACACATATTCCTGATTAAATTTTCTCACTCATTACATGACGGGCATGATAACTTAGGTAGGTGATGGGGATATACTTCTAGTGACATGTAAGAATCTCCTCTCAGCGTGACAAGATGAATGGCCTTTAAAATGACCTGATGATCTTCTCCTGCCTCCATCACCCTATCAAACTTATTCCATACAAACACACCCATATTTTCGAAACCACTAGCTCCATGGTTTGTGTTAGATTTCTTCTCCTTTCCTCACTTGCCAGGAAACCAGTCGGATTTTTTTACCAGAAGAAAACAATGACACCAAACGAACGTATAAAGCACTCTTGCATTTAATTTACGTGTTGGCCATTAGAGTCTTTTGTATATCTCTCAGTACAAAGACTAGGACTAAAGCGTGTTCAACTTTTTCTTTTTTCAATGTGCATTTTCTCTTCGATTGAAATTTCAACAACCCCTTCTCTGGGTTCTTTTATCTAGTAAGTGTTATAAAAAGATAGATAATTTCAGAAGCTTCAGTACTATCTTTCGTTTTGCTCTGATCATCAGCTTCGTTGATCACATAACAAAATCTTTAGGCTATATTTTGATGCATGCATGGCTTTCTTAATTCATACGCTCTTCAGTCATGTACAACATCTTGGAATTTTTGTTTGTGTTGTGTTCTGGTTATTGCTTAGTTGTAGCTTCTGCTTTGCTGTCGAGAGCGATATCAATTGCTTAAAAGGTATTAAAGACTCGCTTAACGACCCTTTAGGCTACTTAAACTCTTCATGGGATTTCAAAAACAAGACCGAAGGTTTCATCTGTAACTTTCTGGGAATCGAGTGCTGGCACCCTCACGAGAGCAAAGTTTTAAATATCAAGCTTTCGGATTTGGGACTCAAGGGCCAGTTTCCTCGGGGTGTAGCAAACTGCACAAGCTTAACAGGCCTAGATCTTTCAAGCAACATGCTTAACGGACCTCTTCCTACTGATATTGGTAGATTCCTTCCGTTCCTTACTTATCTTGATCTCTCATCCAACAGCTTCTCCGGGTCAATCCCAGCAAATCTTTCCAATTGTACCTATATGAATGTGCTCATGCTTGATAACAATAAGTTTACGGGTAAAATTCCTCCACAGCTTAGCCAGCTCTCTAGGCTTACAAGATTTACCGTGGCCAACAATCTTCTGTCTGGTCAAGTCCCAGACTTTGGTAATGCTACTGTTTTTATCACAACGAACAATACTGGACTCTGCGGGGGCATGCTGACGCCTTGCCGGTCTTCTCAAGTGAAGACGTCCATTGGTCTAGTTAAGGTTTTGAAGTCGCACAGTGTTGTGATAACAGCAGCAGCTGGTTTTGGATTTGCTTTTCCTTTGTCTTTCTGTTTTTTCCTTCCAAGAGCTCCCAGTGTGCGCAGTTTGTGGGTCTTTTATCAAGGATTTAAGCTGAGGTAGCCAGCAACACTGTATTCTAATTTCATGAAATGTTGTTAACTTATTTTCTTTTCATATTATAACATGAGGATTAATAATACTGCGTTAAGTGTGGCTGTCACGCTAAAATATTTCTTTCCAGTATGATAGCAAAACTGTGCCCCTTGAAGATACGCACATGATCAATTGGGCCAGGCGTCTCTCTGACCTGATAACTAGTTTCGCCTCCCTACCCAGGTCTCATTTGTCCCTAAAATTTGTAAATTATAAGAGAAAATTTTCACAATCGAAGTATATTAATAAATTCAACAATGATCAGAGCTCGAGAAAAAACAGAAGGCCCAACAAAGGGAGATGTTCACAGCTTCGGAGCTGTTAATTCTTGAGTTGGTGACCGGTAAGAGAGTTATCCACATTTCTAAAGCCCCTGAAGACCAAGGGAGAGGCCTACTATGTTGGACGTATACCAGCTTCTAAGGGCCATTGGAGAGAAATTTAACTTCACAATCGAAGATGGGATGATGATGCCTACAGACAATGGTGATCGTACTGTAAAGGCGAACTTATTGTTGCTCGAGAGATGATTGAGATGACCTGAAAAAAAGGTGAGAGTGTATCAATATATGGCCAGTACCCTTCTGTAATTATCTGTTTTTGTGTACTGTAATGAACATTATTATTACATATATGAGTTATGCTTTAGTTAACTTTTGGACCTGCTTTTCTTCGACATACAAATGTAAAATCGTCATGTTACAATTTTAAATTCGTGAGGTACTTTTATAATTGCATTGGTTTAAGGTTCTTGTTCTGCTATATATGCCCTCTCCACCATTTTCAGGGAGAAAACTCTCTGCTTTTTATCTATTTTGGCCTAAGCCTAACTTGATCAGAAGTGCATAAAACTTGAAAAGACAGAGCAAAAGCATTGCCAAAGTGTTCAGTGCACTCACAACCACACTTAGACGACACAATTCAAAGTTGCAAGTACATTGAGTTTTATGACGAACAACTATGTACTATATGCACATGAGCAGTGTAAGAGCGATCATAATATTCGATCACTTTATGAGGCGGTTGATCCGATGTTAAACCTTAAAGAGACCATATTATACGATTACTATATGCCTTATCTGCTGATTCAGTTTCTGCATGTTTTTATGTTTTCACTCGAAAGACGTTGAAATCATTAAACAGCTTCCAACAAGGGGAGAGTTCATATACAAAACCAGCAAGCAAGAGTATCCACTGCATATCTTGTTGTCTACAAAGAGTCAAATACTACATACATATTTGATCTTTTTTCATCTTCTTGTTCCTGTACGTGGTCAAAGTTTCGCTTCCACTTGTTTCAGACTCGCCACAACATCCTTGACATTGTTTATCTTTTACCAACTTAATCAGTTCCCTAAACTTCACATCAAGTTTCTCAGCATCTTTGGCATATAACAGGCATACCCCACACTTTGTCACCTTCATTTCGGAGGAGCTAACAGGTTTGTTGGAAGGATCTATTTGGTAGAACTTAACAGATGCCTCAGTGACAGTATGACAAAAAGCAGTGGATGAGCATTTTGATCCCTGTAAAAGGTTGAATCGATTATACCACACAAACACATGATCTGAATTGAAATTACCTTCTCCATAGTTGGTTCGACTACTAAAAAATGGACCATGCAAATTATCATGGAATTCAAGGCTTTCACCGTTGCTGGTTTTGAAATTGTGTGTCCATCCAAACTCCAAAGCCTCTTTAACTGTGTAGTTGTCAAATGCAAGAACAAAAGATAGAGCAAAGCCCAAGAAATCTGCATCAAACCAGTTTGGAGGAAGCTTGATATCCATCCAAGATCCCTCATATTGATAGCTGAACCAGTTGGAATTTCATTTCCCGGACATACATTGAGAAATGAAGATCCTTCTTCCAGACTTTCCTGTACCATGGATGCAGGTAACAATTATCCGTCTTCATTTTCAGGTTCTGCTTCTGCTGCTTCTGTCATTTCTCCTCCAAATTTTGGTGACGCAATTGCCATTTGCATAATTTTAAGCAGTGCGTCGGCCATGATGGTGCTTCTTGCAGTGTAACCCAATGCTAGGCAACAACAACAACAACAACAAAGCCTTTTCCCACTAAGTGGGGTCGGCTATATGAATCCTAGAACGCCATTGCGCTCGGTTTTGTGTCATGTCCTCCGTTAGATCCAAGTACTCTAAGTCTTTTCTTAGAGTCTCTTCCAAAGTTTTCCTAGGTCTTCCTCTACCCCTTCGGCCCTGAACCTCTCCAGTAGTGACATCTTCGAACCGGAGCGTCAGTAGGCCTTCTTTGCACATGTCCAAATCACCGGAACCGATTTTCTCTCATCTTTCCTTCAATTTCGGCTACTCCTACTTTACCTCGGATATCCTCATTCCCAATCTTATCCTTTCTCGTGTGCCCACACATCCCACGAAGCATCCTCATCTCCGCCACACCCATTTTTTGTACGTGTTGATGCTTCACCGCCCAACATTCTGTGCCATACAACATCGCTGGCCTTATTGCCGTCCTATAAAATTTTCCCTTGAGCTTTAGTGACCTATGACGGTCACACAACACGCCGGATGCACTCTTACACTTCATCCATCCAGCTTGTATTCTATGGTTGAGATCTCCATCTAATTCTCCGTTCTCTTGCACGATAGATCTTAGGTAGCGAAAACGGTCGCTTTTTGTGATCTTCGCTAGATTGCTCCGGTCATTAGTATGGATAAGTATATAAATGGATATAGATAGGAAAGCGAACACAAGATGTACGTGGTTCACCCAGATTGGCTACGTCCACGGAATAGAGGAGTTCTCATTAATTGTGAAGGGTTTACACAAGTACATAGGTTCAAGCTCTCCTTTAGTGAGTACAAGTGAATGATTTAGTACAAATGACATTAGGAAATATTGTGGGAGAATGATCTCGTAATCATGAAACTTCTAAGTATCGGAGTGTGGTATCGTCTTAACGTGCCTTATCTGTCTCATAGGTAGATGGGGCATCTTCTCTGGAAGTACTCTTCCTCCATCCAGGGGTGGTATCTTTAACTGGTGGAGATGCACAAGGTAATGTATCAATTTCACTTGAAGCTTACTTGTAGTTTCAGGCTTGGTCAAGCGCGATACAAACCATGTAGTAGGAGTCCCCCAAGTCGCCGAGATAGGGGATCTGCTGAAAGAGGTGACAGACAAGGTAAGCAATCATAGCTCCGGCTGATTGTTCACAGTCTCCCTATCTTGCAGGCAGCATGAAGGATAAAGAGAAGAAAATGAGAAGAGATGATATGGGATACTTTTGCTTTTGAAGAAGTAACTTTCCACAGGCTTATTCTTGAACTGAGCTGGAGGGTTTTCTGGTTTCCTCCAGAGTATAAGGCCGACTGAAGAATTTGAGGGTCAAAACAAGTCCATCAAATCTAGAGTACGTTCGACCCTGCTGATATGGGATACTTTTGCTTTGACAGAGTAATGGATGTATCGGCACGTGTGCTGTTACGCTTGTCTCCACATGCTTCCTTGTATCCTTCTCCCTTGCCCTATCTGTTCCTCAGGCAGATGCGGTATCTTCCCTGGAAGCATAAGATGTTGAAGATGAGTACTCGAGAGCAATGTCAGGTAAGTAATCAGGTAAGGGGTTCCAGGCAGTCAGTTCCTGGCTGGAAGCTTGATTCCAAGTACTGACTGATTGCTCTCTTTCTCCTTGTCTTGCAGGTAAGAACAACGTCAAAGGAAAAGACAGGGAAAAAGCATGATATGGGATACTCTTGCTTTTAACCCTGATGATATGAGATATTCTTGCTCTAGTATAGCTTGTTTGCAGAGGTATTATCGGGGGGAAAGAAAGCTGAATATTTCGAAAGGCTTCGTTGGGAGTGCCCTCTCAGATATGAGGAAGGGTTGAGCATTTTTGCAGGTCTGCCTGTCCGTTGGGGATGGAGGTCGACATATATAGAAGTCTCCTTAACAACAAGTAGTAATGTTATTCCTTTACCCTACTTGGTCATAGCACGGTAGTGGGAGCTGTCAGCTTCACATGTTTTAACGCTGTCAGAGCACTTTGAAAAAGTGGTTTGTGGTATCTGGAAAGCTGATGTTGCGTGTGAAGATTACAGACAGCTTTATCCAAGGAGATCCGGCTCTTGAAGTTGGGAAAGTGTTGCCTCTTCGGTTTTCGAACAAGCAATCCTATCGGGGATCTGGCTCTCGAGATTCGGAGAACGATGCCTCTTCGATTTTTGAGAAAGCAATCATGCTGGGGGTCTGGCTCTCGAGATTCGGAGAGCGGTATCTCTTCGATTTTTGAGAAAGTAATCATGTTGGGAGTCTGGCTCTCGAGATTCAGAGGGCGGTGCCTCTTCGATTTTGGAGCAAGCAATCTTGTTGGGAGTGTTTTCTCGAATGTGAGTAAAGGTTGGGCATGTTTGCTAGTCTACCTTGCCACGAAGCACAGAGGTTGACACATAGGGACTTTCCAATTATCCAGCAATGGTACTGTTCCTTTACCCTCTTCGATTTTTGAGAAAGTAGTCATGTTGGGAGTCTGGCTCTCGAGATTCGGAGGACGGTGCCTCTTCGATTTTGGAGCAAGCAATCTTGTTGGGAGTGTTTTCTCGAATGTGATTAAAGGTTGGGCATGTTTGCTAGTCTACCTTGCCACGAAGCACAGAGGTTGACACACAGAGACTTTCCAATTATCCAGCAGTGGTACTGTTCCTTTACCCTTGTGGGTAATAATATGGTAGCTAGACCTTCAAAATTTATGTGTCTAAACTTTGTTAGTGTTGTTTCTTTGCTATTCTTTTACCCTTCTTGGTCAGAGCGATGTAGTAGGAGCTGCAAGCTTCACGTGTTCAACTTTGGCAGAGAACTTTGGCAAAGTTATATGTGGTACCCATGAGCTACTGTTGCGTGTGGGAAGTGGGTGATTGAACAGTAAGACTCATGTGCTTTCTACTTCACCAGAAGTCTTCGACCGAATGCCCATAATTTCCGCAAAGCTGAGTGTGCGTGTGACAGGTGCTGACAAGGCTGGAAAAGTAGGTGCCTCTTCGATTTCTGAGATCGGCCCTCGTGGTCTCTGAGCAGCCCAGCTTTTGAGAAGCAAGCAAGCCTCTTCGATTTCTGAGATCGGCCTTCGTGGTCTTTGCGCAGCCCAGCTTTTGAGAAAGCAAACGCCTCTTTGATTTCTGAAATCGACCCTCGTGGTATTTGAGCAGCCTTGCTTTTGAGAAAGAAAACGCCTCTTCGATTTCTGAGCAGGCGCCTCTTCGATTTCTGAAGCTCCGTCGAGTGCAGAGATTTTTATAGGGGCTGGCATTAAGTTCCAAAGCACACTTGAATCTCCACCAGTAGAAGCTCCATTCTTGCACTTCTAAGATCTTGATTTGTCCGACCTCTTCTCTCTTCAACACCTTTGAAAATGTCTGGCCCCTCCGACCGTCGTTTTGACTTGAACCTTGTTGAAGAGGCAGCCCCGCCTTCTCCTGACAACATATGGCGTCCATCCTTCGTCTCCCCTACTGGTCCTCTTACCGTTGGGGATTCCGTGATGAAGAATGATATGACCGCTGCGGTGGTGGCCAGGAACCTTCTCACTCCCAAAGATAACAGACTACTTTCCAAACGGTCTGATGAGTTAGCTGTTAAGGATTCTCTGGCTCTCAGTGTTTAGTGTGCAGGTTCTGTGTCTAATATGGCCCAACGCCTATTTGCTCGAACCCGCCAAGTTGAAATCATTGGCGGCTGAAGTGATGAGTCTCAAACAGGAGATTAGAGGGCTCAAGCATGAGAATAAACAGTTGCACCGGCTCGCACATGACTATGCTACAAACATGAAGAGGAAGCTTGACCAGATGAAGGAATCTGATGGTCAGGTTTTACTTGATCATCAGAGATTTGTGGGTTTATTCCAAAGGCATTTATTGCCTTCGTCTTCTGGGGCTGTACCGCGTAATGAAGCTCCAAATGATCAACCTCTGATGCCTCCTCCTTCTAGGGTTCTGTCCAGTACTGAGGCTCCGAATGATCCCCCTCCGGTGCCTTCTCTTTCTGGGGCTCTACCGACTGCTGAGACTTCTCCTAAGCAACCTTTGTGAAGGATCCCTCTTGTTTGTTTATTTTGACTTATGTATATGTACATATTTGTAGCTTATCGGGGATATCAATAAATAAGCTTTCCTTCATTTCAACGTATTGTGTTAAATACACCAAAGCCTTCTTCGCTAAGTTCTTTGAATTTTTCTTTTGTTGAAGCTTTGTGAGTGGAGCATGTAGGTTGAGGTAGTGTTCCCTTAATTTCCTGAGTGAGGAAAACTTCTCGGTTGGAGACTTGGAAAATCCAAGTCATTGAGTGGGATCGGCTATATGAATCTTAGAACGCCATTGTGCTCGGTCCTGTGTCATGTCCTTCGTTAGATCCAAGTACTCTAAGTCTTTTCTTAGAGTCTCTTCCAAAGTTTTCCTAGGTCTTCCTCTACCCCTTCGGCCCTGAACCTCTGTCCCATAGTCGCATCTTCTAATCGGAGCGTCAGTAGGCCTTCTTTGCACATGTCCAAACCACCGTAGTCGATTTTCTCTCATCTTTCCTTCAATTTCGGCTACTCCTACTTTACCCCGGATATCCTCATTCCTAATCTTATCCTTTCTCGTGTGCCCACACATCCAACGAAGCATCCTCATCTCCGCTACACCCATTTTGTGTACGTGTTGATGCTTCACCGCCCAACATTCTGTGCCATACAGCATCGCCGGCCTTATTGCCGTCCTATAAAATTTTCCCTTGAGCTTCATTGGCATACGGCGGTCACACAACACGCCGGATGCACTCTTCCACTTCATCCATCCAGCTTGTATTCTATGGTTGAGATCTCCATCTAATTCTCCGTTCTTTTACAAGATAGATCCTAGGTAACGAAAATGGTCGCTCTTTGGTATTTCTTGATCTCCGATCCTCACCCCTAACTCGTTTTGACCTCCATTTGCACTGAACTTGCACTCCATATATTCTGTCTTTGATCGGCTTAGGCGAAGACCTTTAGATTCCAACTCTTCTCTCCAAAGGTTAAGCTTTGCATTTACCCATTCCTGAGTTTCATCTATCAACACTATATCGTCTGCGAAAAGCATACACCAAGGAATATCATCTTGAATATGTCCTGTTAACTCATCCATTACCAACGCAAAAAGGTAAGGACTTAAGGATGAGCCTTGATGTAATCCTACAGTTATGGGAAAACTTTCAGTTTGTCCTTCATGAGTTCTTACTGCAGTCTTTGCTCCTTCATACATATCCTTTATAGCTTGGATATATGCTACTCGTACTCCTTTCTTCTCTAAAATCCTCCAAAGAATGTCTCTTGGGACCCTATCATACGCTTTCTCCAAATCTATAAAGACCATGTGTAAATCCTTTTTCCCATATCTATATCTTTCCATCAATCTTCGTAAGAGATAGATTGCCTCCATGGTTGAGCGCCCTGGCATGAACCCGAATTGGTTGTCCGAAACCCGTGTCTCTTGCCTCAATCTATGCTCAATGACTCTCTCCCAGAGCTTCATTGTATGACTTATTAGCTTAATACCCCTATAGTTCATGCAATTTTGTACGTCGCCCTTATTCTTGTAGATAGGCACCAAAGTGCTCGTTCGCCACTCATTTGGCATCTTCTTCGTTTTCAAAATCCTATTGAAAAGGTCAGTGAGCCATGTTATACCTGTCTCTCCCAAAACTTTCCACACTTCGATTGGTATATCGTCTGGGCCTATTGCTTTTCTATGCTTCATCTTCTTCAAAGCTACAACCACTTCTTCCTTCCGGATTCGACGATAAAAAGAGTAGTTTCTACACTATTCTGAGTTACTCAACTCCCCTAAAGAAGCACTTCTTTCATGTCCTTCATTGAAAAGATTATGAAAATAACCTCTCCATCTATCTTTAACCGCGTTCTCTGTAGCAAGAACCTTTCCATCCTCATCCTTGATGCACCTCACTTGGTTTAGGTCCCTTGTCTTCTTTTCCCTTGCTCTAGCTAGTTTATAGATATCCAACTCTCCTTCTTTGGTATCTAGTCGTTTATACATATCGTCGTAAGCCGCTAACTTAGCTTCTCTCACAGCTTTCTTCGCCTCTTGCTTCGCTTTTCTATACCTTTCACCATTTTCATCAATCCTATCCTTATATAAGGCTTTACAACATTCCTTCTTAGCCTTCACCTTTGTTTGTACCTCCTCATTCCACCACCAAGATTCCTTTTGGTGTGGGGCAAAGCCCTTGGACTCTCCTAATACCTCTTTTGCTACTTTCGGATACAACTAGCCATGGAATCCCACATTTGGCTAGCTTCCCCATCTCTATCCCACACACACTGGGTGATTACTTTCTCTTTGAAAATGGCTTGTTTTTCTTCTTTTAGATTCCACCATCTAGTCCTTGGACACTTCCAAGTCTTGTTCTTTTGTCTCACTCTTTTGATATGTACATCCATCACCAACAAGCGATGTTGATTAGCCACGCTCTCTCCTGGTATAACTTTGCAATCCTTACAAGTTATACGATCCCCTTTCCTCATTAGAAGAAAATCTATTTGTGTTTTTGACGACCCACTCTTGTAGGTGATCACATGTTCTTCTCTCTTCTTAAAGAAGGTGTTGGCTAAGAAGAGATCATATGCCATTGCAAAATCCAAGATAGCTTCCCCATCCTCGTTTCTCTCCCCAAAACCATGGCCACCATGAAAACCTCCATAGTTGCCTGTCTCCCTGCCCACGTGTCCATTTAAATCTCCTCCTATAAATAACTTCTCCGTCTGAGCAATTCCTTGCACCAAGTCTCCAAGGTCTTCCCAAAATTTCTCATTCGAACTCGTATCCAACCCTACTTGAGGTGCGTACGCACTAATCACATTGATAAGTTCTTGTCCTATTACAATCTTGATTGCCATGATTCTATCTCCTACCCTCTTGACATCTACAACATCTTGTGTCAATGTCTTGTCCACGATGATGCCAACACCGTTTCTCGTTCTATTTGTGCCCGAATACCAAAGTTTAAACCCTGAGTTTTCTAGATCCTTTGCCTTACTACCAACCCACTTAGTTTCTTGTAGGCACATAATATTTATCCTTCTCCGCACCATAACTTCCACTACTTCCATAGATTTTCCCGTTAAGGTTCCTATATTCCACGTTCCTAAACGCATTTTGCTCTCTTGAACTCTACCCTTCTGTCCTAGCTTCTTCACCCTCCCCCGTCTAATAGGATCAAAGTACTTCTTTTGTGTGTCCCGTGTAAAGTTGATAGGAGCATAGGCTCCCAAACAACTTTGAGTGGAGTCGTTCGAAAAGAAGTTTCTATGGCCCCCTTGCTCATTTAACACTGCATCCGGGTGCCGATGGAGATACAGCGACCCTTGCTCACTTATCACTGTGCTCGGGCCACACAGCGCGCCACTTACGGGTGACGCCCTAGCTTTAACGCAATTTTGTTCTGAATTCATTTTCATAAGGATTCGACGTGATCATGGAGTGCCGGCTGTCGACTACCTGACGCCCTCCCCCTCCTCCTTTATCCGGGCTTGGGACCGGCAATGTAAGTACATAGGCGGAGTTAACCCAATGCTAGGCAATTGGAAAATATATGTACCTCGTAATGCTTTGGAAAGTTTGCCTAGTTATCAGTCTTTGAGTACTGCAGCCCTTGAACTTGATGTAAAATTATCATAGAGACGGATCATACGGCCCACTTCCAACAACACCGATATTGTCCCCAACTTAGTAATTACCACATGTACAATCCGTCATGTGTGAGGTTTTGTCACAAAAGGCTTCGGTATTAGTTAAAGTAAACTTAGGATATTTAAACCATTACTTATCTTTTACTATGATCGATGTGGGATCCAACACGTCCCCTCACATGGGACCCAATTAATGGCTGTTCCAACAACACCGATATTATCCCCTCACATGCATGTCGATGTGGGATTAAAAATCTAACTGGGGCTCAAGAATTAGCACTATATGGGTGCAATAACCTTGAGTCTGTCCCTAACAGCATCTACAATTTAAATTCTCTTGAAACTCTCAGGTTTGATGGCTGTTTGAAACTTAAACAACTGCCTCCCTTCTCAGTGGGGTTCCACTCTTTGCAAGAACTAAACATCAGTAACTCCGGTATACTTGAAATCCCAGATCGCCTTGTTTGCTTAATCTCATTACAAGACTTAGATCTATGTGGAACAATGATTGAGAGCATCCCTGCAAGCGTCAAACAAGCTACTCACCTGTATCGCCTGTGCTTAAACAACTGCAAGAGCCTTCAATCTTTACCAGAGCTACCATGCATGCTCTTTAATCTCGAAGCACATGGCTACACGTCAATGCAGACAGTGTTGAGTGTTGAATCCCACATCGGTCGCAGTAAAAGATAAGTAGTAGTTTAAATATTCTAACTCTTACTAATTAACACCGATATCTTTTGTGATAAAACATCACATCTGACGGATTGTATAGGTGGTAATTACCAAGTTGGGATCAAGTAACGGGATAAAATATCAACGAAAAATCATGATTTAACAATTATTTTAACTCCGATTTTGATGAATTTTTACAGCTACACTCCTTGACCCTATATGAATACAATGAATTACAGCTACACTCCTTGACCCTATATGAATACAATGAATGAACTCGATCTTCAATTTAAAATATTTACACTAGTGGTATGTTATACTTAATGAAAGTATGAATAAATTTTTAAGTGTTAATGAATCTATTGTTTTGATGAGATACGCATTCTACAAAACTAGTTTCAATGATCCAACTGTCAAACATCTTTGTATATACTTCGAGATTGCATATGCCAAAAATTGTAAAAAACAAACATTCAGATATTAAGTAACAGAACAAAAACTTTTCGACGGTTATCAATGAAAAATCACGATTTAACAGTTACTTTAACTCCGATTTTGATGATTTTTTACAGCTATACTCCTTGACCCTTTATGAATACAATGAATGAACTCAATCTTCAATTTAAAATATTTACACTAGTGGAATGAAAGTATAAATAAACTCGTAAGTGTTAGTGAATCTATTGTTTTGATGTGATACGCATTCTACGAAACTAGTTTCAACGATCCAACCGTCAAACTTGTTTGTATATGCTTCAAGATCGCATATTCTAAAAATCGCAAAAAACAAACATTTAGAGATTAAGTAACGGGGCAAAACTTTTCGACGGTTATCAACGAAAAATCACGATTTAACGGTTATTTTAACTCCGATTTTGATGATTTTTTACAACTACACTCCTTGACCCTATATGAATACAATGAATGAATTTGATTTTCAATTTAAAATTTACACTAGTGGATACCACAAAATCTTATGTCATGATGATCGATGAAAATTGAGGATTTTGTAAAAGGAATAACATGCAAGCTTTGAGTTCCATTGTCAATGTTTAAACTAGTGGATATCACAAAATCTTATGTTATACTTAATGAAAGTATGAATAAACTCTTAAGTGTTAGTGAATCTATTGTTTTGATGGGATACGCATTCTACGAAACTAGTTTCAACGTCTTGGTGCGAGAATTACTTGACACACAAATTAAACCCTCTTTTTGACAATTGTAGTATAGATGTAAGTAGGGTATCGTTCTAGGCCGGGGATTAGGAGGGATTGCTAATCTATTGTAAATTAATTTAAAAATATTAAATAAGACTCAAGGACACAAAACTAGGCTAAAAACTCTAATAACTCGAAACACACTTAAAATGACTCAAAATAATGAAAACAATTAAATTAAACACTAGGAACTGAAATGGACGGAAATTAAATTAAAAGACTAACAATAAGGAAAACTAACTAAATAATATAATTTAATAATGGATGGGTGTTTGGTTTTGATGAAAAGTAAATTAAACTTAATTAAATTACAGAATTGACAAAAACATAAAATTAAGGTAAAATGATAAATGACGGACTAGCTAGAGGGTTCTTCTCCACACATGTTATACTTGCATACAAAATGATTTCCAGTTGCTTTTCGATAAGCTATGAATACTCAACGCCCCAAATTAACCGTGAATTGCACTAATTAACCCTCAGTTTTTCCACAAGTTATTGGGTTGGATGATTGCATACGACAACCCAAAACATTCCCTACAAGTTCCCTACATGAGTTGCATAATAGAGATACAAGCAAGAATCATTAAGTTTTGTGAAAAACATAAGCATTGACGGGACACTCGTTACTATGATTTGCATGAAACTTATGCCAAGAATTTACTTAACGTGATTGTGACTAGCAACCTTTACTACTTGTGAATATAAGTTCATAACGATTAGGTGAAATTCACTTATATTCTAGCATCAAATTCATGCATGTAAATTAAGCGTGCACTCTCAACCAACATACACAAATCAGTTTTTATACAAACGGATAAGTAAATTGAATTCACAACTTATGAAATCACAACCGAAGGTAATCAATTCATATTACAAATATATTCATGGTTTTGAATTAACCTCTAGCCAAAATAAAATTAGTTACACATTATTAAAACAGAAATAAAATATAAGTTTGGAAAGATTTAACCGAGAGAAATGGAGTGAAGCCTCTAATTTTCTTGCTGCCTTGCTCTCTGGAGCTTTTCTTTTGTATTGCTGTGCTTCCCCGCCAGTCTCTCCCTGCGCTGTCCATCTCTTATATTTTTCTGTGCAGCTTGCAGTTTTGCTGCTTCTCTCACTCCCATCTGACCTCTGCCACGCTGCCAAGGCAGCGTTCCTTTTCGCGTCAATCCTCCCCTGTTTTTCTGCGCCTCCTGCGCTCTCTGCGAGCTGCCCAAAGGCAGCACCTTTTTCGTCCACCAATCCCCCCTCATTATCCTTCTTTATTTTTTTTTCATTTCTTTTCTTCTTTCTTTTATTTTTTTTATTTTTTTCCTTTTCTTTTCTTTATTCTTTCTACAAAACATATCAAATCTTATAAACACAAAAATAACGTAAATAGCTCAAAAATATAAGGAACTAACTAAGAAAAGACGAGTGAAATCGAAGTAAAAATATATATAAATATGATCCGATCACGTCTAACCGTCAAACTTGTTTGTATATGCTTCAAGATTGGATACGCCAAAAATCGCAAAAATTAAACATTCAGAGATCAAGTAACGGGACAAAACTTTGACGGTTATCAACGAAAAATCACGATTTAACGGTTATTTTAACTCCGATTTTGATGATTTTTTACAGCTACACTCCTTGACCCTATATAAATTCAATGAATAATTTGATCTTCAATTTAAAATATTTGCACTAGTGGATACCACAAAATCTTATGTTATGATGATCGGTGAAAATTGAGGATTTTGTAAAAGGAAAAACATGCAAGCTTTGAGTTCCATTGTCAATGTTTGAACTAGTGGATATCACAAAATCTTATGTTATACTTAATGAAAGTATGAATAAACTCTTAAGTGTTAGTGAATATATTGTTTTGATGGGATACGTATTCTACGAAACTAGTTTCAACGATCCAACCGTTAAACATCTTTGTATATACTTTGAGATTGCATATGCCAAAAATTGTAAAAAACAAACATTCAGAGATCAAGTAACGGGACAAAACTTGTCAACGGTTATCAACGAAAAATCACGATTTAACGGTTATTTTCACTCCGATTTGGATGATTTTTTACAGCTACACTCATTGCCCTATATGAATACAATGAATGAATTTGATCTTCAATTTAAAATATTTACACTAGTGGATACCACAAAATCTTATGTTATACTTAATGAAAGTATAAATAAATTCTAAGTGTTAGTGAATCTATCATTTTGATGGGATATGCATTCTACGAAACTAATTTCAATGATCCAACCGTCAAACTTGTTTATATATGCTTCAAGATCGCATACGCCAAAAATTGCAAAAAACAAACATTTAGAGATCAAGTAACGGGACAAAACTTTTTGACGGTTATCAACAAAAAATCACTATTTAACGGTTATTTTAACTCCGATTTTGATGATTTTTTACAGCTACACTCCTTGACCCTATATGAATACAATGAATGAATTCAATCTTCAATTTAAAATATTTACACTAGTGGATACCACAAAATCTTATGTCATGATGATCGATGAAAATTGAGGATTTTGTAAAAGGAATAACATGCAAGCTTTGAGTTCCATTGTCAATGTTTAAACTTTTGAGAAAGGCTTCTCGACCTTGAAAACAAAAACTCTTTCATTTTGCATATCTTTGCGCATTTAATATTTTGTAATAGACTAGTAGTGTATGGATGTTTGTTTATTTGACTCTTATTTTCGAGTGTAGATGTAGTACTTAAATGACAAATGTGTTTCAATGTTTTGATGTAATATTTATGTGGCAATGTGTGGTATGTGCAAATTTAAGAATTTTTTTTTTCTTTCTTAACAGCTCATAACAGGTGTGACACAACACGACCCGTTAAGATAACAAGTGTTACACGAAAATGACACAAGGACGACATACACAATCCGTTTGCTAGGCCCAGTGACAAGGGACAGAAGGTAGCTTTGTAAAACCCCTCCCCAAAAGTATTTCGTAATTTTACTTTTTTCCTAAAGAATTATTGAAAGTTTCATTTTGGTCCCCTGTCCATCACCCAATCCGGATCCACTTTTTGGATTCCCTCAAACCTCTCATCCTCTCACAGCTTGCCACGTGGCAAGCACTGAAAGTAATGCCTCGACTTGAAAATTTTATTTTGGAAAATGATTTCGGTGGTAGGCCAAAATTAAACTCTTACTTAATTAATTATCAATTTATCACAATTCTTTATTTCAATTCCTTAATCTTTCACAAAATCTTTCATAAAATATAGCCCATAATTTACTTACCAAAAACATAAGATTTAAATTCCAAATAATTCACCAAAGTTTCTTTCCTTCAAACAAAATCTCAACACATGATTAAACTCAAACATTTAAGGTTGCATCTAACCCTTGTTAGACTACCTACATACCCTTGATACAGGATCAAGCCTTTCGTAGTTCACATTTCATTTTCAATCCACTTCCGAAACTACTTAAGTAACCGAAATAACAAACATTGGGTTTAACAAATTAACAAACAAACACATCAATTGGATAACAAATTCATATTTAAAATATCAAAATTTACAAAAAATGGTAGCATCGTTCCACTGGTCACGTGCCACCGCAGGTGCGGTTTTCGGCGAACGGAAACCCAAAATTACCAAATTTTACGACTAACTCCAAAATTACCAAATTTTACAGCCAAGTAAAATTCAATGAGAGGAACAACTTTCATACGTGGGCTGAAGTCCAATTCAACCGAGAAACACTTCAAATAGCCCTTAAACTGTCAGAAACGCTTGAATTTGGGTGTTCTTGATTTGACTCCAAAAC